AAACACAATTTCTTTGAATGACCCACGAGAACTTATATGAGTTAAGATGAGCTTCTTTGTCTTGTTATATAACCTGGTATTGGCAAGGCTCAAACTTTAGTATCCCAAATTTGTACAGATACAATATAACATCACCTGCAGGTGGAGCAGGACAAACATTCTCTTACCTCGCATTAAAAATCATTCCCTTGGGAGAGAGAGAAATAGACTATTTCGACATTCTTGTATCTTCTTTTACAAGTTCCTCACTGGAGAAGCATTTAGAACAGCAAAGGTGCCACTACAGAAAATCTTGCTCCTTTATGCAACAGGGCAATTCTTTAACAGCTGTTAGAAACACCACTGTGATGCCACAATATCAGAACACTGAGCCAAAGTAAATGAAGAAAAAAAACTGGTTCTCAACATTTCAGTTAATATGCCCTCAAAACTGGCATTTATAATTCTAATATTGACTGCCTATATTGAAATCCCCAAGGTTTGTTTCCTTGTCCTATTTATAAGTGCACAGTGCAAGTTACTTTCCTTCTGTTTTGTGCTCCCCTTGTATTCTTTTAAAACTGTTTTTTCTTGGTCACATCTTCACGAGAGTTTGCATCCCAGATCAGAGCCCTCAGAACTGGTACTCTCCATCCCCAAGAGCACAGTGCTGGTGGTGACACTCCAAGTGCTTTATTGGACAGAACTATTGCCAGCTACTGAGAGATGTTTCAAATGGAAGAAGAAAAAAAAAAAAAAAAGATCTTTTTAAATTTAGCTAAAAGGCACAGGTCTGCTTCTGAAACCCACTTAGCACCTTGTAGGAGAAGTCCTCAGTTTTTTATTACTAGTGAGTTTTGAAAGCTGGAACTCAAGCTAGAATTACAGTTAAGAAAGGTTCCCTTAGGGTGAAAGTGGAGAGGCCAAAACACAGGAATAAAGTCTGATTCTGACATGTTAGGTTCATTCTCCCAGCAGTAATTAATAACTTAGTACTTACCTATCTACAGCTTCTTTAAAGTGTCCTGTATCCATGCCAGCTTTCCTGGTCACTGAGAACCAAACCAGGTGGAAAATGTATCCTGGTGTTTATTTTACCACAGCATGGGTCAGTACTACCTTTAATCACAGCATTGCCTGCACTGAAAAGCGGGAATACATCAAGTTTTTTGGTAAATACAACCACCACACATGGCAAATGTCAGGATTTTAATGACACTCACTTTTCAGTGTTTTCCATCTTCAAAGGGCTTCCCATTGGTTGACATATTTCAGAGTAATGACTGTTTAAAATTGCCCTGTAAAGTAAGTGCTCAAACTATAAAGCTGTTTTCTGGTGTTTTTCTCTCCCCCGGGTTCATCGCCCCCAAACCCTTAGAATGGGAGCTGTATTCAATCACAGCTACACAGTCCTGGCATATTAAAAACTGCTTCACGACAACATGGTTAGCAGGTAGGTAGTTTTGCTGCTTAATTTGTCCAGTATCTTACTGTAAGTGAGATAACTGGCTCAGCCTCCAGGCTTGGCAGGGTAGATGCATGTCGACCACTTGAGTCTTGCTTTGCTGTTCTTACATGCCCCAATTCATTCAGAACCCCTTTTTTTCTTCTAATCCAGACTTCAAGAATGTGTTTCATAGGTGCTCCCATCTATGGGATAATTATGCTGAGCTGTTGTCAACAGTGATGATTTCATAACATGTGACAAACAGGTGCCCATTATATTCCTTTATTGGAGACAGAAACATTGCATAATTACAGATTTGATGAGGAAAACTGCAAATAGTATAGACTGTTTCTACTGCCAGCAAAATACAGTTATTACAGGATTTATAGACATACAAATATAGTGCTTCTTTCATGCCAGATGGTCGGTTCGTAACAATGCCATTAGGAGAGCTTAATTGTGCTTCTACAAAACCTTTAGAGAAGAATGAGGTAGAGTTTCCTTTAGTTTATCCAGTACTTTTTCACACATCTGTCCTTTACTGCTTTTATATGCTTCAGATCCTTGTAAAATTCCCAGTTAACTTTAAACATTCGAGAAAACAGAGACCCTTCAGAGGTGTTTACTTCTCCCTCTGTAAGTTGCTAATTTCCCATGGCTTATATGCTACAATTTCAATAACTACTACTGCACCCTTCTAAATGCCTCAAAGGTCAAGTAGATCAGGACATCTGTCTTTCCAAATTTCTGCTTCGACAGAAATTGTTGGTAAATAGCTTCAGAAAAAACTCTTACTGGTCTCCATTATGGCAAAGAACGTTTTTCATTCTGTCACTCTCTACTTAGTGGCCAAGCCCTCTCCCTGGAGACGGAGGGAATAGATCAGCTCTTTGTCAATGTCCTCAACTATGAAATAGTGTTAATGATGCATTTGTCTCCTACTTGCAGTTCTAGTCAACAATTATTTAGAAAATTAATACAAATTATGGGCAGAGAATAGGCCACTGACCTGTTAGATGATCTGGAGCATAACGTGTTTGTTCTGACCTAACATTTTACTGGTTTACAACATATAAAAGTGTGGTGCAGGTTTCAGTTAAGATATGAGGGCCCAAGTTATGAAAATGTAGGCACAGATGTAGGTATTTAAGCAACTGAGTAAGAACATCTACTATCCTGCTAGATTTTTGGTATCACTGGGTATTCTCTCTCCTGGACCGAACGAGAATGGTAATGACGTTCTTCTGACCTCCTGCCTTCACTGACTGTTTTTACTCTCACTCCTGGCGCAACTGTTCTGGATACAGGAGACTTTCCACTTTACCTTTTGCTCTGGCATTTGCTGCAAGCACTTAGTACTTACTAAAGCCCCAGAGGAGTGCACTAGTAGGGTGCAGTAGAGAAGAAAAACCTGCTATTTCACCTGAAGTGGTCACGATTCTAGTGGCAACCAAATCATAGTGGAGAGGGAATTTGGCATACAGAAAGAAGGTGATTCCATAAAGAATAAGGATGTTTGCTTTCTTCCTAGAGGGTACTGAGATATGATAGTATAAGATAATAGTTCAGCAACACTGTATAAGAATTCTAAAATGAAAAGCAAAATTTTTATAAAAAGGTGCAAAATTTCAAAGATTCCATGTTCATCTCTCGATCACTTTGATCATAAAATGAAAGAAAATCTGTTTCTGCAAGCCAGTACCTCCTGAGATAGCTTCTGAGCTCCTGCATCTCACCCTGAAATGACTGCTCTAAGCCTGACAGAATCAAAACCTATGAAGAGTCAGCGTTATTAAGAGAACCAGCTCTTAAGAAACTTTCCCAACTCTTTCTTAGAAAAACAAGCAATACACTTATTTTACCTATTATTCCCTGCATACCTCTTTGGTAAAAACCAAAAATGACCATTGTTGAAAAAACTTGGAACCTTGGAGTTAAATACTTCCACAAAGTTGTCTTCTCTGTTTCTACCTTAACATTACCCAGCAAGGCATTTTAAAGACTTCAGAATTCTACATCAAGGTCTTAAATCCTCCCTTAAGATCTTTCTATGAACATGAAATTTAAGAGTCTTTTTTTAAAGCATGGCATGAAAATTCAGGATTGTGGTAGAAATCAGACACAATAAATTAACTTTCAAGATAAGCAAGCAGTATAAATTAATGTTCAGAGAGAGGCATAAGAATATACCCAAGCTGTTATTACTAGTAAATATAAATAACCTTATTTTTTAGTATATTTGGGTGTGGTTAACCTTGCTAGTGCAATTAATGAGATTTTTATCTTAGCTAGTTATTCCAAAACTTTATTCCAAATCTAAGGCTTGACTGTTCAAATTCAGTATTGTTCCTCACCTGCTAAGACCTAATGTAACCTGGCTGTTCTACCTCAAGGTAATGACCAGGTTAGTTTTGTTTATGGAGCTGGGGATATATTTGCCAAGTGTGCTGTAGATGGCACTCAGATTTTTCCAGTCAGGGAAAATATCCTGGAGTTCCTACTAAGCATCATGCTCAAAGCAAGGCAAGGACAGGAGGACTACTACAAAAGTGTTTTTCACCAATGCAATGCCAGTAATTAGCTTCTGCTCTAATGGCTAAAAATACAAATACTTATTAAGAAGTTATTTAGCTTAAATGATTTAGGACCTATGAATTATTTTTCCAGATCTTGAGGACAGTGACAAAACACAGTAAAACACAGCTCTTCCACACTTCCAAATTGCAGTTCAGAAAATCCATTGTCAAGACTGACAAAGAAGTCTGTCTCAGTGCTACATGACTAAGTGCACCTCTAAAATAGTCCCATGCTAATGACTTTACACTGAGAGGTATAATCCTTCCTTCAAGCATCCCTTTGAAATAGCATAGCCCTGTTTGAGGTGAATTCTCTTGTCAGGATCTTTCTATCTGCTGCTTTGTATTCTGAACTACGCCTGTTACTCATTTATGGGTTCATACAGCAGATCTTAAATGTATTTCTAATTCAGTTAACATTTTTCTCCTCCATGATCAAAATGGCTTTACTCTAAAGTAATCCTTGAAAAATTGGACTCTACATGGCATCTTTCTCACTGCTTAAAAAGCTTTGTCTGGAAAGCTTATTTGATCTGTAATAAAATAATTTTTATGCAGAAGTTTGGTTAGAGTTAATAGCAGTATCACTGGTAGTACTATTAATCTACACTTACAAAGAGGTTAGATAACTTGTCCAGGGTCACAAAGACAGTAGCAGTCTGTTAGGGTATTAAATGGGTAGTAAAGCACAATTCTGATCCCTCAACACCTGGAATATGAACAAAACATTTTTTTTGGGGGGTGGGGGTGTTTGTTTGTTTGTTTTTTAACTGCCACTATTGCTAAAAGCAAAAGGAATGAAGATTTGCTTAAATGGTCACTTTTAGGTATAAGACTAAGTGTCATGATGACAGAAGGCTGGGGAAAAGGAGCTGCAAGTCCACGTGGAAGGCAGAGAAAGACAGCAAAGGAAATCCCACTGCAGGACATGCTCATCCATCATTTACACCTGCCCACCTCTCACGACAGAAGCCTGACACGAACACATGAGAACTGGAGCCTGGCAGGCTGTGCTACCACCTCTATATTCTATTCCATAGCAAGGCACTATCAACAGACAGTTCACACTATGAAATCTGTTGAGATTATGTAGATTGTTCTGGAGAGGCTATTGAATTTAAGAGGGTTCCTCCTCTAATTAGGCAGCTATAAAATCAGTCCCAGCTGTTCTTCTGTCTACCTCCTTGGAATGCCATGTATTATACAGACATTTAAAATAACTTGAATTCCAAATTAATTTAAAAAATCACATTTTTCCAAATTACCAGTCTTCATGCGTGATGATAAATAAGTATAAAATAAGTGTACAGGAGGGGATCTGTGATATCTCTATGTTGAATTTGGCAAACCCAAAGAGTTTATGTAGAAAGAGGAGGAGTGGAGGACAACTGCTTTTTGGCTTGAGATAGTTGAACAGGTGTAAACAATGTCTGAGCAGAGAATATCTCACTACCTTGCTTTTGTCTTACCAGACTTCCCTTCTATATCCCAGAAAAAACATGTTTGCTTTGCACTGCTATGGACTGAACAGGTTATCTAGTCCAGGAACCTTTATTAGCATTCTCACCTGCATCTATCACTGTAAATTCTCAGGGAATTTGTCCTCATTGCAGTTAAGAATCTAGTTAAGTAATGCCAGTTGCTGAAGCCATAACTCTTGGCACCAGAACAGCTTGTATGAAATGCCAGTTTCCTGAAAATTCTCTTATTTGACGGACTTCTTTCTTATGCATGAATCATGCTCACCAAACTGAAAATTAAGGACATGCTCAATACTGAAAATAATAATCAAAAGAATGAAGGGGAGAAGAAAGAACACATGAAAATTAGAATTCATTATTATCCTTCTAAAGTACCAGTGTTTGTAAAACATAAGCATGTGAGAGGCTGAATCTCATTTGATCAACCCAATTAAACATTAAATAATTGCAGCCAATTATGCAAATATCACACAACAATATTAATTTGTTGATCTTTTTTGAACAGTCTCAAATTCTCCTAATGTTAGACTATCTTATGTCTTAAATGATCAATTACCAGAACCATAACTAAGTGATGAAGAATGGATAATTGCCTAGTTATGATGTACCATACTCTTTCTATGTAAATCTGTTGCAATTAAACAAATAGGGCACATGGAGAAAAGATGTGCAGATGTTCTTTTACAATCTATTATTAGCTCAGGAAATACCACAGTTCCCTCCTAAATTTTACAAGCAAAAACAGGGAGAATGCAATACCAAATACTCTCTATCACTTACATATATTATTTCTTTCCTTTGGTTGATGGGATAAAAAAGCAGTGGTGGAATTCAAAGTAGGACAGCATGCAAGACCAGAAGAATTTCCTGTACTATACTGAGCTGTCAGCTCCCTTATTTAGGTTTTACATTTTAAAATCTAGAACCTATTCCCCTGGATGCCCTTTGGAAACAAGCACAACTTTGAGTTGACACAGCCAGAGTAAAGCAATTAACCAAGATCTTCAAGACAACAGTTAACATACACACACTACATGTTTTCATTCTTCCCTGCAAGAAAAGACCATGCATTTCTGTGGGTCATTCCAGTTTCAATTCTCATAACTTTGAAGTCTCCATCAGCTCAAAATGTGCAGTGAAAGGAAAGGTGTCTCCCTGGTCAGTGCAGGAAACAGTGCAAACCACAGCAAATGAAACCATCTGGTTTCTTCACATTAAATTACTTGCAAAGAATTTAAGAGGTTTATACAACTTTCAGGTTTACACTGCAGTAAAATAATTCTTCTAACTGGTCCTTATTCATTTTGCCTACTGAATAGATTACTGCTGGTATACTGAGGACTTCATGGGGATTTTTGATATCCGGTAACTGTCAATCCTAACATCACCCTGAGATGTTAAGGTATTGTACAACCACTTTGCCATGCACCTGAAAAAGAGATATTTTGACTTTACCTTTTGCTGCTAAATCTAAGATGAACATAAGGGACAGATTAGATAGTTCAGTTAAGAGGAAGCCACATGTGGTTGGTCATTACATAATCTTGCAGAGAGCTCCATGCCATGCTCTAGGTAAAGGCACTCTTTAGTTACGATACTGGTTTCATCAGATAAAACTTCCTGCCCCATGTTGCATCTTGACATATTCCCCATGTAATTTTTCCAGCCATGTAACTAAATAAAAGGAAAGACTACCAGCAGCTTGTAATTCACAGTAAGATACTGAACGAAGACCAGCACACGGTACAGATTCAGATGGTCAGAAAAGCAGTCACACAATACTATTGCTACTGTAAGTGAAACAACATTTTGTGCTTGCAGTTGTAGTCTAAAGAAAAAACTATTCAACAAATTTTAACAATGATTACATTGTCAGAGAGAACCTTCAACTGTTCTTCATTAAAAGATCAGATTGGATTGCAGTGATAGATAGGAGAAGTCCCAACTTGAGGGAACAAAAGAAAGAAATGGCTAAGTAAGGGTTGTCTTTGAAATCTGACAAAAAATGAACAGGAAAGCCATAAGGCTATTCTTTAACAGTTGCATAAGGCATGGATGGTCTATTTTAAATTATATTTTGCCTTTTAAACTATATTAACAAATACCAGTAACTACAACGGACTTACATAGCATGGGAGAGATACTGTTGAGTCTTAAAAAAATAAAGTGCTAAATGTTTCCCTTAATACTGGTGCATCTCTGCTGCAAACTAGGACAAGAAATGTTACACTTTTGCTTCTTATAGGACTCCAATAAAGTGTCAATAAAGTTCCACCAGTTTTACACTGAAGTAGCACTTTGGAACATTGATACAGAACATGGTGATCCTTTTTGGCAAGAGAGATCTTAAAGCTGTTCAGCAAAGCTGTGTGCAAAAGGAGATAGCTAATAAATATTACAGAATGATTGTTAGTGAACATTTGCAGAAGTTATCTCCCTAACTAGGGGCTACATGCTCTGTATTGCTTCCAAAGTATCAAGACTGCATGTGAGAGAGTAACATTAAATGGAGAATTATGTGCTTAACCAGACCGACACCAGGGTTTTGAATGAAAGCTCTTTCCCTCTTGTGCTAGACATTTTCTTGTTGACAACACTGCTTGTTCCTTAATAGGAAAGCCCTTCCACAGTACACATATGTCAACGGAGGCTGGATACATTTCACAGTGAGCAGTGAAGGGGACAAGAAAAACATTTTGCTGATCTAAATTACGTGACTGGATGATGAAAGAAATTCCTTAATCCAAAGTTTAGATGGCTGTGAAGAGTGGTTGAATTTTCACAGCCACAGTTGCCTAATCTTATTTTCTAGACATTCGGCTGGAAGGCAACACTGTGTCCGCAACTCCCAGCTCCGTACTAGCCCTAACAAAGGGGAATTTTTGTCTCAGCAGGGCCTGACCAAGCCCTTCAAATCATGTCTGGAGGAATGTATTCAACTACTAGAGAGGTATGCACTGTCCAAGCAGCCACTGCGTATCCCCTCGGAGGGAAAGGCAATAGGCCAGCAGGGACCATATTGCAGGCTAGACTGAGTTACAGCTTTGGCCCAAAGGACAGAGTTATTTGACAGAGTATGCATGAGGGGATCTAGAGGGCTATGCAAACTCGGGAATCTCCCATACAAGCAGAGTATGAAAGGAAAGAGCGTATGGCTAAATGTATTTGTTTCCCAAACACGGAGCAAAAGGCAGGATAATGCCAACAGAACCCTGTGAGCAGCAAACAGGCAATGTCCTCGTGTCACACGACGTGTTCTGCTGGTGATGGCAGCTAAACAAACCAAACTGAAGAGCAGTTGAAGAGCATTTTACAAGTTTTCAGACTGTACGTAAGGAGGCACTAAGAAAACCATTAGGAAAGTTCTATTGCTAACATTTAGCACCTCTACCAAGAAGACAGGCTTCTACCAACGACATTACAGTAGAAATCAAAATGATTGTGTTCACATTTGCCGGATTGTGGAAACAATCATCCTGGGGAGCAAATTGATACCTAAACTATGCTACGCACTGGCAGCTACAGAAGTTGTCATTATTTGTGTCTGTTCTGTCTGGAGGGTCTGAACTCGTCCACCTTCATGACACCAGCACCGCCCAATCGCTGTCTTCTCTTCCATACTGAAACAAAGCAAAAATGGAGTTTAAGAATAGAAGTTAAAAGAAACAGTGTACAATTACGATAAATTCTTAGGTCTGTCCTCAGAAAAATTCATATCCACTGCTCTGATGGTAGTTTACACTATTTCTTATGTCTTTACTTCTGCCTTTGATTTGAGCATAGCCTAAAAGTAGCTTGAAGCTTTAACCATATTCCAGTGGATGGACTAGGAAGGGGCAATGCTGATACTAACTGGAGATGATAAAAAATAGTCCTGCCTCACTTCCATCAGTTTAATGCAGTTACTCCCTGAGGCCTGCTCACTAATTCTCTCCTAAGTAAGCCCCTGCTCAAGCTCCACTAAACAAACACTTTTTATTTCTTTTTATTTTCAAGGTGGCTTTTTATTAAAACATTCTGACTGAATGTGAAATAAAGCCATCACAAATATCAGAGAGTACAATTAAAGAGAATTGTAATCCAAAATAAAACAAGTCATCTTTCCATATACAAACAAACAGGATCACTAGGCAGAAACAAAGGCAACCTATGGCATAGAGTTGTATCCTTCCAGGAAAGGATACAGTCCCAAGGAAACACTTTTGCTTGCTAAATAGGCTCCATGTTCTAAAGCTCTTTCACCAGTCCTGTACACAATGCTCCAGAGAGACCCCAAAACACACACAGAGCTCAACTAAGTAAATAACACCCACTGAGAGGCAGATGTGAGTTGGGAGTTCTTTCCCTCATAGTGCTACGTTCAGGGAGCTTAAAAACACTTTCAACCAAGAAATAAAGACTGATTTTAGAGGCTTTATGTTGACTGAAAAGATCACTTAGTGATAGTTTATCTAGAATGGATAAAAGGAGATCCTCCAATCCAGGTTCTACATCATCAGGAGAGGAGATAAAGGGACAGGGAGAAGACAACATCTCCAAATCAGGATGAACCAGAAAAAACACACTTCTAGATCCACATAGGAGTGGTGTTCATTGTGCTTGTGTTTTACTGTTTAATCCAGCAGGTAAAGCCTCTACATGACCTTCATATGTGTCACATCTACTTTTTCTTTTCACTACTGATTTCGCTGCTCGTCTTCTTCAGTCTGTAATGTGGTTCATTAACACTGGTCAGGTGCTACACAGGACCTTGCTCAAGTTACTTGTTCAAAGGATTTTCTTCTTATATTTCCACTAGTCAGTGTGGTTGCCTTGGGAATTATAACCAAGGCAAAGCAGATGTATCATTAGTTTAACCACAAAACATTAAATTACCTTCACGTGAGGCAATTCTGTTGAGGATGGGGGCAAAGGGAGAAAAAAGAGAATGTCTTTGACCTGCCTATCACTGCCTCCCAGAGAAAAGGTGGCATCCCCACCTCCTCCAAACCAGGGAGCAGGCAAAGGCCAGGGCATTATTTGTAAATTTTGTTGGTTTTAAATAGTAGTATCAAGTAATGCTCTAACGCTGACCAGAAATTGCAAGGATTGGTCCGGGTTGCCATTTGACTACAATTTGCACCTGCTTCCATAACTAAAGAGGGAATGAAATGTGATACCACAATCAAGATGTTTTCATTCTGAAAATAAAAGCAGCTTTATCTTCCTTTTCTAATTCTGTCAAAGACTTTGTGACTTCAGGCTTGTCAATCCCATCCCTCTTACACTGCCCACCACACCCAAGTCTTGCTTTATAAGAATTAACACATTCATTCTCCTTCCTTGGTTGTTTTCCAGTGGCCTATCCATTTAGACTGTGCAACTTTGAGGAAAGATGGGGTGGACTAAATATCTGTTCACTGCTGTCTTGATTGCAGCGTTTACATATATTTTCTATCATGCAGCATAAGGAACACATCTTACTTTCTATCCAACCCTTCCAAGCTGCATCTTAATCTATGTTTTAAAGGGTATAGCAAGAGTTTGTTTATTCTCAAAGCATGAATGGAACCCCACAGAAACACCCAAGTAGTATTTCAGTGAGTATATTCCCAGAGAAAAGGATCTTATCCCTAAATCCTCTAACTCAAAGAGTTATAGAAGTCAGTTTGCTATGATTAATTTGTTCATAAATACACCGTTACTTTATACAATGTAAATGATTTAATCTGAACTCTTCATCAGCCTTTAGTAATCATGATATCTACTCAGTGATAGGAAGGGAAATATGTATTGCAGTTCTACTACTGTCTCTCTCAATTGGCATGAGAAATGGAATTAGTTCTGCCCATGAGTTTCTAATTTGTCACTGCAGCTCTAGTTCCACTGAACAGCTGTTCACACCCAAAGAAATCCTGCTGAACACAGTAGACTTGTGAAAGAACAATAAGCAGCATGAGAACAGAGTTGGAAACGTAATAATGAAGAGAGTATGAAAATGTTAAAAAAGCATGCATTGTACACAAGGGAACTGGTATAATAATACTGGATACAGAGCCTGCTTCTCCTGGTCACAAGTTCACATGCAGGACAGTGGTGGTGCTGAGAATTTTTACTTTTTTACAAATGTCTGTTGTTCAGCATGAAATGGATACATTGCTCTGGTTCAGGCAACACCACAGAGACCAGAGCCATGTTTGGCTGTAATTCCCATTGAAATTGATTCTTGAAAACTTGAAAATTCTTTGGAATTTTCAAGCTTCAAACTGTCGAAATGATATGACCACAGTCCAGTGATACTGCAGAGATCTCTTATTTTTACCCTCCTGGTAGAAAACATAAAAGATCTTGGTCAAAGATCCTACGAACTCCCCTGACATTTTAAGAATATCAGATATTCCATTTTGTGTGTTGCAGCACTGTTTCCTGTATGACATCCTGGGGTCCATTTGGATAAGAGCCCAAGGAAGGCCTGGGACAAGAACTCAGAAGTAAATATATGCATAATAGTCCAGGAGTAACGAATTTACTCTTGGCATGTAACCAATGAACACAGGGTATGTACACAGAAAGCAAAAAGGTCCATATGCACAGTTGTAAAGTGAAAATGTCAAAGAAAAATAATATTTGGTAACAATCTACACTTTTACAGCCTCCTCTTGAGCCTTGGTTGATGATGGAAAACCAGAGTGATAAGAGGCAATGGGCAGAAACTGATGCACAGAAAATTCCACCCAAATATGAGGAAGAACATCTTCTTAACTGTGGGAGCGACCATGCACTGGAATATGATGTCCAGAAAGCTTGTGGAGTCTCCCTCACTGGAAAAATATAAGAACTGTCTGGATGCAATTCTGTACAGTGTGCTCTAGGATGGCCCTGCTTGAGCAGGGAGGTTGGACCAGGTGACTCCCTGTGGTCCCTTCCAGCCTGATCCATTCTGTGATTATGTGAACAGGGAGAGCATGGAGCAGGGTGGATAAATTTGTCTTAAGACAGTCACTATCTATTGGGCAAGACAGAAAGACACATATCACAGGATTACTGGTAAGAAGTTAAAAATTTTAGTGGCAAATCTAGCATACCGAGCCAAAAGCTAAGAATGTAGAACGGAAACCATAAGACTTGATTTGAAGAAATCCTGACAGCACTGCCAAGCAACTGCTGCTGGATCTTAAATAAAGGGGCTTGTAACTTGTCAAGACCTAATTCTTTAAGTAGGTGCACCATAAACAACACTAAATAAGGAAAAGAAAACAGGCAACTAAAATAAGAAGGGCCATCACATGCTGATCATTGACTTTACCTGAAATGGTATTGGCTCCTATGCCCAGATATAGCATATAGCTATAAAGCACAGATTCCAAACAGACTGTGATACTTAGCAAGTCACAGAGAAAGGAACTGTTGTAAGAACAAGAAGTGACTGTGTGATTGGAAAGATGCTAAGAGAAGCAGCGATCAGTTGGCTGCATCCAGTGAGTGTTTGCTGCTTCACCCATTTCTTTACTGATTTAGCCTCTTAAGATGCTTCATAATCCTATTTTTTCCCCTTGAAAAGGAACTTATAACAACACTATTAAATTTCACTGATAACAGTGACATCTTGCAATTCTTATCCAGCTTCCAAGATGAACAGGTTAAAACTCTATTACATTTCATCCTTATTATATTTTCTAAAGGAAAAAAAGAAGAAAATTGATAGAATAATCACACCAAACAAAACAGTCTATATTATTATACAATGCTTTCTATAGCACCACTACAAAAAGTTATTTTCCAATGCTTTCAAATGTTCACCTATTATTATTTTATCTTGTTACAGAAGAGGAAACACCTTACCTGGATATCACTCAGTTTATTCAGGAAACGAGTTGTTAACTCAGGCCCATTCTCCATAGTTGGAATATGCAAATGCTGACATGGAATAAAGGAGTAGGAGAGGGGGGAGAGAAAAAGAGAGTAACGTGTAATAGTAGCCTTATGTACATATGAATGCCTTATGGTTGCCAACAATTTTAATAAATATTTATCGTGCTGTCTAGACCTCCTGATGAGTAGGCAAAGGTTGTTGCAATGGTTTTTTTACAGGAGGGCCCGCTGAAGCAGTGAAAAGTTAGATTAGTTGAACTGTTATGCTCTTTTTAAATAAAGGCTAATCTAAGCCTTCCAAAAGATCTGTCCAAAACAGAGGGAATATTGTATAGGCAAGAGTAGTAACATTATATCCAGTATCTCATTTCAAAGTATATCGGGTAGAAATATAACACTTGCATTTGTCGAAGTTACCAATCAGCACCTTGATGTTTCTCATATTCTCTTAGCCTTCTGAACTAACTCTGTGCTGGCTAAATACCATCAAGTCAGCTTAACAGTAGGAATGTCTGTGGAGTTCCACCTGTGCAGGAGAAATCTCCCAAACATCCATAGTAGGTGGAAGCAGCTGTGCACCCTCCTGAAACAGCTCTTCTGTCAGAGCTGCGACAAGGGGTAAAGAAGAGATAAACTTGTGAAGGAAACACTGCAGTGGCCCAGAAATTTGGTTCCCTGTCAAAGTCTTTCCTCTCCTCACCTTTCCCAGGTGCCTTAGCTTTGGAAAAGAATGTTCAGTAAAAGAAACATAGGAGAATGTATTTGTCTGTGTTTGCAAACAACCTGGGGGGTGGCAATTGTGCTGGTTTTTTTTTTTTTTTTTTAAATAATTTTCCATGGAATTGAAATTTTGTGGTTTTATTTATTAAAAAAAAACCCAGAAGACAAGAGAGAAAGTTCCCTTCTGACAACACATCAGTAACTCTCTTGGGAAACAACATACTGACGCTGTTTATCTTTTCAGGCAGCACTCCTTTTCTATCTCCCTTGTTTTTTGCTTCAGCTGCAATTAATTATGATAACATTCTGAAAAAAGAAGGAAGGAAGGAAAAAAAGAGACATTTTCTTACCTTGCCCTTATATAAAATTTTAGAGATAGGACATACAACGCAAGCTGTTCCAGCACCAAACATCTCCTTTACTCTGTCCTCTTCCAAGGCAGCTGTCAGATCACTCATGGTGATGTATCGCTCAGACACTTTGAATTCTCCCTGCACAAGAAGAATCCACCATAAAAATTGTAAAAAGTTTTAAAACGTTTGCATTTTTGTTTTCCATGTTAAGAATATCTTTAATAGAACTATTAGCCTAGTGGCAATCAGTCAGGTTTTGGCTCTGCTCTTGTGATCTTTTCAAACCTCCCACAATCACACAACATAAACTCTATTCAAAAGAACAACCTTCAACAGAGATAATGGTTTGCCAGACAAATTGCTGATGGTTAAGTGACACTTCCCTCTGTTTTAGTACAGAATATCAGAATAACAGTATAGTACAGAATCACATTAGGAAGTAACATCAAAGAATTTGTCATTTGTTATGTGACATAGGATCTGATTACTCATGGAGTCTAACATGCTTGACTTTGTCCAAAAATTACTCATTAACATCAAGAGAGTCTTTGCAGCCCACCTCAGAATCACTGATTCCTAAGCAAAATACATTCTGTTAATTCCACCTGCAAGGCCAACTAGATGTGATATATATTTTTAATCCCTAGTGAAATTTGACTCTGTAGCACGCACACAGTTGTCACATACAAAAATTAACTGTACTGTAGGTATGAGTAAAGCAATTCACATTGGGCAGTCTTAATACTGGAAGTGTTTTACCTCTTAGAAGTGTTGAAGAATGCATAGCAACTGATTGAGGTGATGTGTTTAAAAGAAAAAAATAAACATCAAACTTTGATATTTTTATTTCATGGATTTATAGGGACATTACTGTCCTATCAGACCAAACTAAAGCTTAGCCCTTGTTTTATGTGCAAGCTTTTTAACATGAAACAAAGATGCTTATGATGGCAGAAAATGTGATTAGCTCTGGACAGGACAGCATTTGGAGAGAGAGAGGCAGGGTTTCAGACAGGTTAGGGAACAGATGTCAGGAAGAAGAGAACAGCCTTTGTGAGAGTAGATTATTTAATAAAGGACTAAGGTGAGAGTAGATTATTTAAAAGGACTAAGGTGACAATCTGGCATCTCACAAAAAAAGCCCTATCAGCTGGAAATGCCTGCCTGTCTTGTAAGGTAAGACTGACCAGTGTGCATGTCTGCACTTGGGGAGTGCAAATACAAATAAAGATACATAAAAATTCAGGGCTGCTCATCAGAGGCACACATAAGCCATGAAATACATGCCCAGCACTCCTCACTGCAAGTTTGGTTTAAGTGATATAACTGTGAACTCTGTTTCTGGAAGTCTTTCAGACACGTGTGGTTGGAAGCTGAGTTAATACCGGGGAGAAAGTATCACACATGCCTGCGTTATTCCTGCTGTTCCACCCTAAACACAAACCTGGCCAAAACCAGGAGACAGGATACTGGGAGTGATGATCCCTTATTTTTACCCAAGACACAGTAAAACCTTTGAATGCAGTACAGGCAGAGTGAACAGATTGCTGCATTTCAAGATATGAGGTAGTCCCAAGTGTCCAAATAAGTTCTTGGATGGTTACAGTACAGAACAGGAACTGGAAGCAGACAGATGACTTCAAGACTGTGGCTAGCTAGGCTGCATGCTAGTTAGTGGAAAAAAGGCTGGAAGCATGAGAACTAAATGGAGAAACAGCGTGCTGATGACTGAAGTATATCAATGGTCATGCATGGTAATTCTTTGTTTCCTTGCTTTAAGTTGCTGGTACCAGTGGATTTAATGGGAATTTTCATGTTAAATACTACACAGAGCTACTTTAACAAGATTGGTATTGTTCTGTGTGACAGGTGTGGGTATCCTGATGTTGTTGGGAATCTATGAATTTGCGTGCCCTTAGTTCCCATTTAGGTTAAGGGATTGAGTGCACCCTCAGCAAGTTTGCCAGAAACTCCAGGCTTTGCGGCACAGTTGCCATGCCGGAGGGAAGGGATGCCATCCAGAGGGACCTTGGAAGTAGATTTTCAGACAGGTTGGATATGACTCTGAGCCATTTGATCTAGTTGAAGATGTCCTTAGTCATAGCAGGGAGGTTGGAAAAGGGCCTTTAAATGTTCTTTCCAAGGACAGGTTGGATGGGGATCTGAGCAGCCTGGTCTAGTGGAAGGTATCCCTGCCCATGGCAGGAGGGTGGGACAAAATGATCTTTTAAGGTCCCTTTCAACCCAGGTCATTCTATGATTCTGTGAACCCAGACTATTCTATGATTCCATGATTTAACCAGACCAGCTGAACTTTAAGATACTGAGCACCAGAAATGTATATTTCTGTTGACATTGTAACATGACATTTGAAACTATTACTGCCAAGGCCAAAACACTCACCCAGTTGCGTGCCAGATCCAAAATGCTTTGCCTTGTCACTCCTGGAAGGATGATGCCATCTAAAGGTGGGGTTGCCAGTTCATTTTCTGTCAAATACAGAAGAAATAGAAACACCAGTTAAAAACCAACCAAAGTAACAGAAAAACATGTTTACTGATACTACACCAAACGTGTGGGTCCCTTCAAACTCAGCATATTCCATAATTCTGTGGTACCCAGTAAGGTGCAGCTTATATCAGAGCTCAGTAAGAAGACAAATTACAGAAAATCCATTCAAATAAACAGTTGTTCAGTGTTTGGAACCTTTTGAGTACACTTCAGTAAGTGGGGAAAAAATGTATTTCATACATTAATATGTACGTGGCTAATGCCTAGTAGCAGGTTTTATTTCTTATTGTATTATGGGTTCACTGTATAACTACTGGAAACCATCAAGTGGTTCAGTTTTCAAATTCTGAAGAGAGAAGTAGAAGGAAAGCCATACTTAATAATCCCAGGGCAGATCATGACTTTCCCTGAACTGCTTTGCTTAATTTAGGAATATGGGATTTGGTATACCTACTTCATGGCAGCAACGTGAAACATTTACCAAAAATTTTGAAGTCCATCTACTGAATTGGTAAAGCAATGGAAACCTTGCCAACCCCCCTTGAGAGACTTCTTTAATGATCTTTTGCAGTAGGTTAGACATCCCTTCTTCCCTGCTAATTTTGTCTTTACAAATTAGAGTAGTCCTAAGAAAATTCCAACAAGAACATTGCAAGTTCTTCAACTAGTTTGGTTTGTTAGCTCCTGCTTCTTCTTTCCTTTTGAAAAAAGAACATTAGATAAATATTCATCTAACATGAAGAAAGGGCAGATAAATGGTAACCCACACTTGGTAAATAATCCATACTTGGAAAATACTTGAGATATAACAGAAGTTTGTAGGTAGACTTTGTTCTTCCATCTGATCTTTGCAGCAAATCAGGGTTAATCTTTTTCATTTTAAACTATCTCTTTCATTATAAACAGAGTTTAACATTTAAACATTTCAACACTTAAAATGAGTATAAACATTTAAAATACTTGGTGGTTTCTATTACCAGACAATACTGATCATTTACTCTTTTTCAGACACAGACTTACAAGACAGTTTCAAGTTTGCACTGAGAAGTCAAGACATCCACAGTCTTTCAGTAATACTCTTCATATTTTTTTCCTAACCATTTTCTTTCCCCAGTGATAATCCACTTTCTTTCTTGAAACTACCCTTCTCATAATATCCACAAACCATTAAGCTTTTTGCTTATTTTTTACCTAGGTCACATAAAAGGAAAAGATATGTATCTTCATGTTTTTATTATGTCCCCATCTCCCTGGACCACAACAAGATCAATGAACCCAGGCCTGTTTGAACCCTCTCAAAGGAGAAGCTGTCTTTAAAATATTTGTCAAAGTCCTGTGAAAAGTTGCAGATGGGTAGAAGAGAGAAACACAGTGTTTGTCCTTGGACTGTGGGAGCAGGTTGAGCTCAACTGCTCAATACTCTGTTTTCAGCACTCAAGTAGATAATTCCACGTACAAACACTGCCTGCCAGCCAGAGCACACACAGCTCCAGACTGACTATGGCATAGGCTCTCCCCACTGTGCCAGAGAGGGCTTTGGGGCTGGGGTGGGATAGGGGAAATGGAGGTTAATTAAATGGAATCGGTCTCATTGAATCTACAACTCAACTTACCATTTTCTCAGGAAATAGCCATTACTTTTCAATGCAGTCAGCCCTGGATTTATTAATTTGGACTGGAAGTTCTTCCTGTCTATGCTTCCTTGTTCCTTTTACGAGGATCCATACACACATAAGTAATAGATGTGAACTGCCATGCCAGAATGTATAGGAAAGCTGCCCTAGGAAAGGCTACCTGTTCTGCTCTGGTTTGACTAACCCATAGTGCCATTCCCTAACCTATCCAGACTCCTAAGCACAGCAGTGATCTCTTCTTTCTCATACAGTCAAGAATAGCAGCTTTCCTTTCTTAAAAGTCTGTATAGTGTCACTCCTAATTATGATGCATGTCTGGCCCTAATTCTGGCACAACTTTTAAAAGAAGAGGACTTTAAAACTTTCCATGAACCACAGGGTTTACTTGATTCTGAACACTGAAAACCTGATGTCTGGCATTTGTGACCCAGTCACATAAAATGGACTCCTTTCTTTAACAGAAAACTTCAAATACTGTGGACTTTGATACCAAAGACTGTCACTACTCTTCTCTATTTGGTGATGTTGCCATAGATCTTGTCCAGGACAGGTTTAAGCTCAATAACATATATTAATTGATTTGAGCTAGTCTGAAAAGGTGCCAGGCCAAACCAGCCACCAAACAGCACTGAACAGACAGGACATGGAAGTCTCAGAATGTTTCAAACAGCCTGCTCTGTAGAATTTTGTCAAGTGTACATATGATAACTACCAGCCTGGGGCCACCCAGGGAACATCTGCTCCCCTGGTACCCGGCAGAGATGATAACATTATCCAACATGGCATGCCAAAAACTCATCCTCTCTGTGAATTGATGCCAAACCAGGCTCCATATGACATTAGTTTGTCCATCTCCCAAAAACCAGACTGTGAGCTCACAGACTCCATTTGCCTTCTGAGTTATTTTGATGGGCTGAAAGCCTTAAAATGTGCAGTTGCAGAGAGGGTGGGGGAAAGGCATTTGAAGGAAAATGTCAAGGTTTCTCCTGTTATTGTTATATTGTGGCAGCAGTAGCACTATCAGCCCAGTGCCCCTTTAAACCAGGCATAATATAGGTTTGATATGACAATGGAATTCCGTCAGAGTGTTTTGAAGGGCTTTTGAAAGTGAGGTCTGGAGTATTATACACCTTCAATTTTTTTACACACCTGCATTTACGAACATACAGCAGATAAGACTGCAAACATGGGATGCCTTCAGTACTAGTCACACTACAACAATGCTGAGAAATTCACCTAAATATATTTTACCAAAATGATAACAAATTCCAAGTGAACTTCAGGGTCAAGAAGAGCCCAGGAAACCCTTTTTTCACTATCATTAACAGCTGACTTCCTCTCCCAGTTTGTTCTGGACCTTTCTTTCTTCTTATTTCCCATCAGGCTTTTCTTCTACTCTTCCCTCATGCAGTCACTCTGTGTCTCTGTCAATTTGCTTTCCTCAATTACTTTCTCCTCCTTTCCTTTGTCTGCCATCTCATTAATTTACTGCTCTTCCCTCCATGCTATTGCAATGGCTTTCTGCTAGAGCAGAAGGTACAATCTTTATTTTCTTTGTAGTCTTCTTGTACACGATACTTCTGCAGCACAAATAACCTTCCAGTTACAGAACACTAAGCAAACTTAGCTTAAATTTTACCCCTTTCAGAGAATCTTTTCACATATCTATTTTTCAATTTGTGAAAATTTGAAGTGGGCATTATTAATCACCATTTTAATAGCAGCACTAAAATATTAAGTAATTCCTGAATGCTATTCACAATATCTTAACATTAAAGTTAGGAGTGGAGCCCAAATGGCTCCAGATCACCTGAGGAAACTGAATTTTTCAAAAGTGCACACAGATTTCACAGTTAGCTGCCTTCAGGTTGGATATACATTTAAATTCTAAGATTTTCCATAAAGCCAAGCTAGGCAGAAGAACTGACATTGCTACAGGAAATGAGTTTCAGTGTCAACAGTTTCTTGGGATAGCTATATGCTCTGAGGAGACAGGTGGAAGGGACTGTAGGGCAAACAGATTTTTCACTTGGTGAACACAAACTGTAAATAGGATTTGATGAATGAAATGTCAGACTCTTGTATTTATGCAACAGCAGATATCCAGGTATGGTCATATTCTAAGCCTATGCCAGGGCAGCAGTGGGAATACAAGAACTGCATAGAGCATGTCATGTTATTTTAGCAGAAACTGAGTGGTTTCCCTCCCTACTCCCCCCTGGATGTTACAAATAAAACGTTTTTTTCAGGCTCCTCCTGCCACCCAGGATAACAGGTGATGTTCAGTCACAATGCTGTGATTAAAATATACAGCAAAGGCTTGCAAGAAAAGCCTACTCCCACGGGAAGCATGGATGTCCTCCGGTTTAGGTTTTACTGGGATGGGTCTCTGGCTATAAACTAAGGAGAGCAGTTCCGGCTACTCAGCAGTGACCTCAGAACAAAGAAACGCATTTTTCTCTCCATGATGATCTGCAATTTCTGCCTCACTCAGTTTGATCTCTCTCAGCTGCAGCATTTGCATAACAAAACCAAACCGCAGCCTAAGTGAGTGTCCTTTGTGAAGCGACACAACACAATGACAAGCACTTTCTAAACCACGCCGGTGCAAAGCCATAGGTAAGGTATGTGATGACAGGCTGGCAGCAGGAGCGATTCTCAGCCAAAGATCCCCTAAATTAAGCATTACTCAACACACGGGGGGCACAGCGAAGTGCTCCAGCGGGGACACTGCCGTGTCCTCTGAGATGGCAGGTTTGCCAGCACACAGCCTGCTTGGGTGGCATGAATTACAAGTTGTTTGCTACGGCCACCTCACAATGCTACCATTCACTGGTGCACTGGTAACACAGTGATTGGCAGATCTTTGGAACAGTACGGTGCTGCAGCTGGATAATTCCAGCATATTCCTGGTTTAAGCACAATGAGAACATTGAATTCTAATTATGTTCCCGCTTCAGTGTCCTTTCCCTGGGCAGAACAAGCCAAAATCTATTTTCATGTCTCTCCAGCAAAGTTGCACAAGGCATAAATTTGGCCATCTATCTACACTGACAAATCTACTGCTGCTATAATGACAAGAAAATTTCTGATATTTACTCTTTCATTCACAAAACATCATGGACTCATTCAACACTGAGGGAGTATCATCCCCCTTTCAAAAAAGGCGGTAAAGATTTTGCAGAAGAACAAGCAATGAAACTAGAGGTGAGTCGGGTAGTTGGATCCCTATTATCCTACACTATCTGAATCACACTGTTGTCCCCACAGAATGTGCCTCTGTACTCTGCAGCTGAGCACTGTCAAAAAAATGGCAATTTTGAAGGGTACCCATGGCAGTACAATGAAATCTGAGTCTGAACCCTGCATCTGCTGCATCATGCAAAAATTCAGTAACAGTTCATATTCACCGAGGGACAGCATTCATGGAAGTCCAGAGGTATCCTTTTTTTCACTTGCCTGTACATTGGCTCAGTCCTTTGAAGAGTCATACAGTCTTCCAAACCAGTTATCAGGCGCGGCTACCACCTCTCAAGCTCTGAATATATGCATAGCAATGGGTGTTCTTGAGATGTTTAAATAGTTGGCAGCTCATTAACAAGATAGTTTTCTAATCAGCATGTACATTGCTCAGAGATGACCATGGGTACAAAGGGGTAAAAATAACTTCAAGAATGGTGCTATGTCTTGAAAGCATCATTTCAGCATGAGTGATCTGGAACACTGACTGACATATTTCTCTCTGTCTGTCACCACTGGACAGAACTTCAAATTCTTTGAAGAAAGAGAGTTTCTTTATCAGTTGGATGCTGAAATACTTTTGGCTATGCTTTGGGAACATCTGACTTGCCAGAAAGTGATGATGGGAGCCACTCATGCTCTAAGACACAGAATTTGAAGAGAGGCACAGCCACAAGTTGTCTTTTAGTAACTCTGTGCTGTTTCTAAGCCAACACCTCCTCAGAGATCAAGCTGTTAACAGCTGAGACCAAGCCTGATGTGTCACCTTCTGTATGGGTAGACTCGGCCCTTCTGAGCACATGGACTGACCCAGCAGTTTCATGTTATCATCAGGTAGCATTTACATCTACTCCAGAATCTCCTCATTCACAGCGATACAACTAACAGTCACCTATTAGTTTTCAGAAGAGAGCAATAACCCCTTTTGTTAAATCATCTTAATTTAAAAGCTTATGATCTGCATTCTAATAATCATTTTGTGGATTATGGTCCCAGCTGTCTACTCTGCTTAAGTTTTCATGTTTTATGCTACTGTACCTCCATCTTCATTGATCCAGTAGAGAAACAGATTCATTGTTCCAACTTCAGTTATTTGGTGATCTTCTCCATAGAGCCACAAAACCTGCTGGCAGCCAAACTCCAGGGCTTCTTGCTGGGCATAAATAGCAGAACCATAATTCCTTCAGAAACAAAAAGAAAGAGCAAACAGTTATGACTATCTGGTTGGATATCTTCTCATTTTTCAGCAAGATTTTGTGTACATCTATAAGCAAATGCTCTGCACAGTCACTGCTTGTCCCTGGGATGTTTTCATTGGAAGTCCTCTACCAGTAGATCATTTGTATCTACAACCCCAAAACTTCAAAGGGCTGAACAGCATCAACAGCTCAAACATATCCATCCAAATTGTCTTAAAAAATATCTCTTGTTCCATATTCTGGACATTTTACTTACTGCAATTAAACACCATAGGAAAGCATTTATCTTTATTTAGCAGTTGACATTCTGGAGAGAGAGCAACAATTACCCTCCATCTCACGGCTTAAAAAAAAGCAAAGAAAAAAAATCATCTACCTCATCTCATAAATATCAGATTAACAGATGAGTAATATATATCAGATGAATCTCTTGAAGAACAAATATCAGCAGAGGTGAGTTTTTTCTCTTCTAGTAAAAGGCGTTCACAGAACTAGTATCTTTAGGAGCTGCAAATGGGCCTTGATGAATTCCATATCCTTGAGGAGCAAATGTTTTCCTAAAATGCTGCCTACCGAGGGAATCCAACTGAATAATACCTGTTTACTCTCTAGCTGCTTTGAGGGGAAAAAAACACCTTTTGCTTCTGATGTTCAACAACCGTGAAGACCCAAAGGCTGACCACACTGGAGTCAAGCTCTCACCTCTGGGTATAAATCAAGTCAGCAGTGACTCCAGACTAATCCTTATTTTTCACAGCTGATGTATGAAAGATGCACAGGAAATGACACATTTCTAAAAATTAGTGATAACTCATAAACATCAGACTGGACAGGGGAAAGCTGTTTTCTTGCCCTCTGATTATTCTGCAAGCTCATCCGAGCAGCAATTGACAGTTCCTAACTTCCTGCCTAGTGAAGAAACTCCCAGGTAGGGACAGCCAGCTTTGTCTAAACCAAAGACCAAGGATGCATAATCGAGGGATTTATTTAGTCACCTCCAAGTTGCTTGCTCCAGTCAGGTCTAAGCAGCCTCACACTGCAGGTCGAGTACCTGGGCACTCACAATTGTGATTCTACTTAACAAATGCTTAGGCCTAGTTCGGCAGAAAACTGCCAGACTGAAGTCAATGCAGATAATTTTCTCTTCTTTGCCTTAACCCCCCAGACTCCCTCTGCTTAGTGCAGATGGCTAGTTGGGACAACCCGCCAAGGAAGGAGGTCAGCAGACAGTGCTGCTCCCTGCCCTGCTGGCAGCAGGACACTGTACTGAATGATGCTTCGCTAAACTGATGTCTTCAGTGTCAACTGCACCAGGGGGAAGAGTGAAAGTATTACATGGACACCTTCCAGATCCAGTTCCCTGGCTTGAGACGCTGCAAAAAATCAACTTGGCAGTAATATTCAAGCAAAAATATGCAACGGCATTGTACAAATAATATTTGCGAAGTATGATTTTGAAATCTTTGTTAGAGCACGCTGTTTGTTTAACTACTGCATTTAATGTCTCTACATCTTCTGGATTAGGTACTTCACTAAAACCCCCATCTGCTTTGTGAGCTATGTAGAGAAATGCAGAATAATGTTTTCTTACCCTCCCACTTTGCAGTCCCCTGTTCCTCCTTTCCAGGCTCTTACGTATTTTGGATCTGCCCATAAGGATATTGGATTAAAGCTTCCACTTGCAAAGTAAGGGCCTACAGGGCTCAGTATGACATACAGGAGGGCTTTAGTCGGCTTCTTCACTCCAAGGGAAGGCTGAAAATAAGGAATGTAAACAAATCAAAAGTTACTGGTGCACTTCAAACATCAGGTGCTTTTGAAACACTGCTTGCAGTGGAACTGCAGCATGAGAGCTTTTATCAGGACAAAGTGCTGCAGTGAAGAGAAAATATTTTTTTAACTTCCCCCCCAACCAAGCAACATAATAACCCTAATTTTATGTACTGTCACCATTCACTTAAAGCATTCCATCTACCTATTATGCTATTCTAATCTTCTCAAAGAGCTCCAACCTTTTGAGAATCCAGAATTTAGCTTAACAAGGGGCTATATAATTATATGAATTAATCACAGCAGGAGTGTTCAAAGTCTTCTAGGGGAAGGAGTGGCAAGAACCACTGCTATCAATAACAACAGGGGAGAAACCACTGTCAGCTGCATTAGTGAGGAGAATTACACAGGGCCACTTAGAACTGGCACTGGTAGAGCTGAGTGCTGGCATTGTGAATGACTGTGTGACAAATGAAATTATTTGCCTGCTGAAAATAGTTCACACAACAGCACAGGAATTAACCTGGGATGTATTGGGGTTTTTTCCTCCTCCTCTCTGAGGGGCTTCTCATACTGCAAGTCATCACCATCAGTACTTGAAGGTGGAGGTGAAGTTTGGTACTGATCAGAGTCTGAAGCCTGTGGTAGGAGACTCTGCTTAACTTTCTGATTCTGTAAAGCTCAGGACTGACAACAAAATCACAAAATTATTATGTTGAAAGGCACCTCTGAAGGTAATTTTGTCCAACCCTCCTGCTCAAACAGGGCTACATACAGCTGGTTGCCCATGATTCTTAGGGTCTTCTGTACAACAGAATGGGTTACTATATTCTCTCCACTCACAGAAACCAGTCTTGTAAAAAGAACAAGCTCATCTTTGGTTTCTAAGATTAAGTCTTCACTGAGAAAAAGTTATTCAACTTAAATCTTTAGGACCAAAGCTAAACAAAGAACATGAAGCTAAACTGGGAGGTGGGACGGGAAATAGTAGTGTAATACTGGAACCACTGGGAAATTCAAATAAGCCTTCCCCATGTACTGAAAGGGTTGTTTTGATTTCTGTCTACCTGACTCCTTCAGAAAGGCTTCTAACAAGATTAACTGAGATCTCAGTACTTTTCCTGACTTTTACATGATCATTCAAAAGATTCTGCTACCTGATTTCTAATTGTGGTGATTCATAAAAGTTTAGTAGGACATACAATCTGGAAACAACCTATGACAGAGTGGAAAGGCCAGATGTGCTGGCTAACCTGAAAAAAAACTCAACAGGAAAAGAATTTCCAAAAAAAAAAGGGGAAAATTCAATGTTTAATATCAGTACATTACAGTCTCTGCGATAAGGTTCTTCCACTCGAAAATCTGCAACTAGTCTACAAGTGTTAAATTAATGGAATCCTAGAACACAGATGAAATGTGCAATGATCAAGTGTGGTAACTACTTACAGACGTGGATATTGCTAAAGAGTAAATTGCCTGGTTTGGAACCCTACATTCTTCAGCTGCCCTATCCAATGCTCTGCCATTATAAGTTTCTCTCTTGCTAGTGTTAAAAAAACCAACCAACCAACCAACCAAAGGAGCTCTTTTAAGGCCAGGTTTGTCTGGGTTCTATGCTGAATTGACATGAGAATTTGTCCTCAGTTCTGTTAGAAGTGTCTCTCAAAAGAGCCATCTTAATTTACCGGGTAGAATCTTCCGAAATCACTTCACTTGAGTCAGGATGGATGTACGGGTTTAAATCACAAAATGTACACAGAAAATTTCTGTTCCCTCATGCTTTCTCCAGACTATGAGGATTTTAAAGGCATATCCTAGCATGCCACAAATAACTATCCTTTCAGTGCAAACCTTAAGTTAATGTAAATGTTTCCGTTCACATTACGAGTAGTTAATCCAAGTTTACTTTCTGTGCTCTGAACCCATGTGCCCACTAAGTGGCAGTGTGGTCAACATTAACTTCGTGCAGTAGCGCTACAGGTGAGGAACTCAGAAGCAAAAACACAAAACCAGTCTGCCTCCGAACTGTAATCCTGTCATCTACTGACTGCTGCATGTTTCTCTTCATGGATGGAGGCTTTTGTGTCGTACCTAAATACACAAAGGTCAAGAGGGGGAAGAAAGTGTTTCACACCTCAGTTCCAATTAAGGTAGGACGGATGTACAGGCTGGCAGCGGTTGAGTATGGGACCCACTCCTTTTCCACTTCCACAAGCTTCAGGATGCACTCTAACAGCTCTTTCTGGTCAAAAGACTGGGAAGGAAAAGCAAAGGGAGAAAAGCAAATGGAGAAATATAGCCAGAACATTCTGTGGTCTTTACAGATCCAGATGCCGCAAGGAACACTTCATCAACTAACGTAACAGTGACAGTCCGTAGAGGTTCACAGGACCTACATACATCATCTTCCTTTAGTTCATTCTTTACAGAATTAAAGATCCCATGGTCTTGGTCATTGTGCCTTTTTATAAAGTATTCTGCATGTCCTCCTCTGGTCCAAAGTAGCATCCTGAGATACTCATCATCATCATCATGGCTAGGCTTCGCGAACGAAGATTTGGGGAGATACTAAAAAGGAGCCATTGACCCTTCTTGCCTTCAAAGCACATGGACAGAACTCCCTGTGCAGCCAACACCTTCACTTTGGCGTGCAGCAAGCTACGGCACCACCTCTTCTGCAGAAGAGTGCTTTGGGTTACAACCCAAGGGGGCCAGCAAATCTCCCAGGTTTACAAAGTTCCCAAGTTCTTAGAGCTAATAAGCCTAGGAGGAAATTCACTGGCCAAGGTACAACTGCTAAAAGCGGTATTAAGTTGCTGGCATGACCAAAAACGAAGGAAGTCAGAGCCTGAATGACTTAACCAAAGTGGAAAGAAGAAAAGGAAGACCATTAGTGCCAGAACAGAACAATCAGCTGTGTGCATGCAAATACCTGCATCATTCCTCAGAAACAAACTGTACACCTGAAACAGCAGGGAAACAACAAAGCAAAAGATTGTTCTGTGTTTTTTTTTTTTTTTTTTAAGAAGTTCAGACAGTTTCTTTCACTGAATAAGATCTGTTAACGAAGTTTAACTGGACTATCAAAGAGTTACAGTGGTTGATAAACAGAAAAGTTTCACAAGTTTGCACTCTGAAAATGGAAATACGCTCTGATTAGGGAGGGCAAGATGCCTTGGGTACGTACTGGCAGAGTTGTTCTCCTTGCTGACCGCGCCATCCTGTCCATGTTGAGAGTTGGCCGGAACAGGCGGATTTTGTCATCCACTCCTCGGTAAGCCTTCATTCCTTCAAACAACTACCAAGTCAGAAAAAAAAAGGAGAGAAAAGAAACCAAATAATGATTGAGACGTGTCATCCCACAAGGATCTGTGCAAATGCAGAGCATACCCTTTGGAAACAAAAGAACTTCACTTTCCCTGCTCACAGTACTCAAAGCACAAATGCTAACTAGTGAATCCTGGCAATACACTCATGTGAGATAGGATTATGAAGTTTGTATTATGAAGATGACCTGCCTATACTTCAGGTGTGTCTTTCTCTGTCAGGGAACTTAATGATAACCTTTTTTTTTTTTTTTTTTCATAATTTGGTTACAGCAATTAAAATTTGTAACGTGTTTGACTTAACTCCCTTACATCCTGACTGACACCTATGACTGCGCCAAAAGAATATTCTCCCTTACATAAAGGATCTATAGAATTTTAAGTTAATAATTTTTAATAATTTTTAAGAGCTCTGCCCAAAGCACATTTTTGGTACCAAGTATAAGGTAATGAAGAGAATTCTGTTAAAAGTTCTTGCTGTAGTTGTAGCAAGATCTTAGTCACTTATTTCCCTGTATATCCCTATGCTGTGGAAGGGGGCTTAGCCTGCATGAGGGAAGGATGTATCAGCCTTACACTAGAGGAAAAATGCATGAAAATGTTTTCTTCATATACTTTACAGGAAACTTTAATTCAGCATAATTATCCTATCAAATTGCAGAATCCAGATGACTGGTGTTGACCATCATTTTACCAGAAACCCCTCTACAATCAGTGCCCTCCCAGTAGAATGCCCTACAGCATCTCCTCATCACAGCAAAAGCCATATGCCCATAAAACACCCATGGTTATTTTCAGATAAATAAATACCCATAGTTATTTTAACAGATTGATAATTTCTGGTTATACTTATGGACAAAACCCACATGTATTCTATAAGCTCACACTAATATATATTATATATACACATATTATTTAGATTAAGTATTAAAGGCCACTTATGCTTATAGGCAAGAGTTCAGACTTTTAGAATTTATTTTCTAAAGCATTTCTTTATACGTGAATTTCAGTAGCATTTCAGAAATTCTATGAATTTAACTGCATCACTGCTGTCAGTCTCCTCAGGCTTCTCCTCCTCTGACTGTTCCACAAAAAGTGGCTGGAACTACATCCCATGTGGTTGGAAGTCTACTCATGCAGCTTTTTTTATTTGGAAAAAAAAGATCCTGTATTTTTGTACAAGTAATGTAGTAGAATACTCCAGGTTTCATTATTATTAAATTGTTTAATATCTTCCTGCAAGGGTCAGTGAAATGCATTGTTTAGAAAGCTTTTGTGCAGTCTCATGGCAGAGCTAGGTCCTTCCACATGACAAATTTTAACTGGGTTGTAACTGGGTTGCAGGAATCCCGGCAATTTTCCTCAGGCTATGGTGCCAACTAAGTAGCAGAACCAGAATTAAACCCCAGAACATTTTACCTTCAAAATTTAACTTCTTCCTATAGCAATGCCATACTTACTAAAGGCTTTACAGACAGTTTTGAAAAAAGAAATTGTTCCCAATGTAGACACTGTAGCTACAAGAAAAAATCTGTATCTTTAATAAAAGGATGGCATATCTGGCGATAGGGATGATACTTGGATACAATTTTTATCGGGCCAGTTCCTAACTAATGCCACATTTTTTGAATGCTACTTTCTTATCACTGTTATCGCCCCCCACCCACCCTTCTCCCAAACACATTCACAGAACTTTTAATGAGAGGGAAAAGGGAGGAATGCCACTACTAAGATCTGATCAATGGTTTGAGAGAAGCAAGAATCACGTCATTACTGAAACACAAAGCCTTCACAAGATGTTAATATTTTTCTCCAAAAATAAATACTTTTAACCTTGCAGAGCTCAGTAAAACCTTTCACTCATTAAAAAGGAAGATAGTAATGTGTTCCAGAAATGCTTAACTTGAATAAAAGCAACTGTTGTGGTTGGTTGATGGTTGGTTGCTACAATGGTGTGAAAACAGTATTATCTGACATCTGTACATCACGGGAGCTGGATCTGGAGTTCAGCAGATCCAGATTATCACACTGCATCATGGAGGGCAAGGAGGAAGGGGAGGGAATGCCAAATTCATCACTTTTGTTATACCCACTGTGTATTCATTGAGCCACAGCAATGACACCAGATTCTCCTCTGTCTGTCCTCTTGGCTAGAGGAAACGTGATGCAATAAGGATAAAAGAATAAAAAAAAAATGGAAAAAAATAAGAGCATATTCATATTAGCAATGATTTCAGACTGGGCCAGAGGCCAAGCATTAATGCAATATGGTACTATGAGTGAAATATAGATTTGGGACTCCAGCGTGGTTTCTTACTTCTTGGGCAGATCAAGAGCTGCAGCCTTAGTCATGGGGGCCTGTTTAAATTTACACAGGACCTTTGAAGGCTTGGTGACTAGATGGGGAAAAAGTCAGTAAACACAAAAAAAAAAAAAACAGTGAAGGCAGGAGCTCAGGGACAGCAAGCAGGAAAAAGCTTGATCCTTCCCTCATACTAGAGGTTAAAATAAAAAAATAAAATAAAGAAAAAAAAAAGAAAAAAGCACAAGCAACTCCACACACTTCAGTGGAGACACTCCCACCTAGCCAGAAGTGGGGGGAGAAGTGGGCTTCCATTTTAGGATATGTGCCCTCCTGAGGCTCCCACACAGGTGTGAGCACAGCCAAAGCTGCTCTGGAGGCACAAAGGGCAGCTTTAGATAGTAAGCAGCAGCTAAACACAGAAACTGTTAACCACGCTGGCTTCCGACTTAACATTTCACTTCCCAAAGTTCCCTTGCTGTACACTCTCTGCTTAAATACACTCATGTGCTGAATGCATCAGATGCAGTTCTAAGCTCTTCAGACTTGTTCAGAGTTTCAAACAAGCACCTGTCCAGTCTGTTCTGCAATCCAGCCTATCAACCTTTAAATCAGCCTAAAATAACTTTCAAAAGGTGCCTGTTCAGTCCCCAAACTAAAGTTGCTCCTGGAATTTCTCGCGGTCTTATCCAGTGCTTCATTAAGTTACATCAGAGACAGTAGCTGGACCTATCCACCATCAGTAAAATAGAATGCTTTCTCAAATGAATTTGTCACCACACAAGAAAGGGCTCATTTTCCCTAGGTCACTATGTTAAGTGAGCTAGAATCCACAGGCCAGAGCTCCTTCTGAGTTATACTAACACAAACATAACCCTGTTGTAAACAATGCAATTACTCTGGAAGCACATCAGTCAACAAAACAAAACATAACTCAATACTAATAAACTTAAGGCAGTAATAGTCCTTGTGTTACCAAGCTGTGGCTTCAAGAGCTAATAAAACAAAACAGTGGTTTCCAAATCAATTCACTACTCACTTCTACAGCATAATGTAGGGACGAGGAGGCTGGATGCAATGAAAGGTTCTCCAGTGGCTTAATATAGGGTTTCTCCCATCCTGAAGCCAAGGACCATTCAATTGTCAGCATATTATCCGTGAACACAGTTCCAAATACCAAACCACTGGGGTCTGGTTTTTCCTTGAAAGTTGTAGCTGGCGTGATAATCAAGTCGGAAGCCTGAAGGAACATGGAGACAAAAATGAAGCGTATCAAAATAATTAAGTCAGACTGATTTAAAAATGATTCTGCATCAGTGAACATGGAAAAACTTTGATATTTTCTCTGTAGGGACATTTAATGACATAATGGTTCCAGGCAGATAACCTCAAAGTAGCTGGCAAAGTATTCACACTGTGCACACACACATATTATACACAGTGCTGTTATACAAGCAGCAGCATATTTTGAAACTCTGTTAAGCTGGGGAAGCAGTACAAGGTGCAAAACCAGAAATCAGATGAAAATCTCTTGGACACTTAGGTTAACATACCTGTACAAGTTCCAGAAACACCCAGTTGCTGTACCTCAGATCATAAGCTGATCAACAGAAATTAATCCCCTTCACAACTAAGTGGATGTTATGCCAACTTTCCATGAATATATAAAACCAATGTGAGGTCAGAGCCAACAGTCAGCAGATTACCTGTGTCACAACTTGTTCATTCACACTCTTACTTTCCTAGAAAGATCCCATTAGCAACAAGAGGCTAAATGTTTCCCTGCATGAGGAATTGGAGGGGGACATGACTAGCTGCAGAGATGCACCCTCAGGGTTTTGTGCTGGTTTTGTCTGGGATAGAGTTAATTTTCTTTATGGTACCTTCTAAGGTGTGAATCATCCTAAAGAACAGTAGGTAAGGAAGGAAAGCAGGATCTCTGGTATGTCACTACCCTTTAATACACAGGTATGAGCTAAACAACTAGAGAGGGTTACGAAGTGGGCAGATTTGATCCACCCTCTCCATTCTCTTTCTAGGCCATCTGAGCGTTTAAACTGTGCTGGTCAGAGGCAAGGGAGAATTCAAAGAATCATATTCAGAGCTCCATTTTCCTTCCTAACATGAACTCAGAAAGCACTAACCCTTATTACAGACCTCTAAGTGAAATCTTGCTCCTTTGTGTTGGGTACATATAGAATAGACTGGAACATAAGTAATTCAGACTATTTTTAAAATGATTTGCAAGCGCACTGAAAAGGCAGTTCTGCAAGACACGTCACTGAATTGGACTTCTCAAACCCAGCACGTGTTTTGCAAAATGAGATAAAACCAGTCCCAAGCTTTTTCAAAAGAACACATGCACTCCTGCCTCTGTAAATAACCTAATTTTCAAGATAATTTTAATGAACAAAGGCCTGGGTTTTATTGATTAGTTGTTTTGGTTTAGGTTTGGTTTGGGTTTTTTTTTTTCTTTGCTTGCTGGCTTAGATGTGAAATTAACTTAGAGCAGGAGCACACGAATTGCTAAAAGCCTGTTTCAAACTCTCTCCAATTATAGGGCTTGTCTAGATATTACAATGCATTAGCCTTGTTGACTTATACATAATCTGATGAAACAACAATTACTCTCCTTAACTCTTCCCTTTATTCTTCTGAAAGTAAATGCTGCAATGGGAAAAGCACTATTTAATGATGTCCTGAAAAGAAAAATTAATTTTACCTGGCAACCTCGTACCACATGATTTAGGAAAAAAAAAAAAAAAAAACAAACAACTTCACAGAAGAACATGGAACAAAATAAAAGCCACAGAGGAGTTTTTACAATTATCCACAACACAAGACTCAGCTCAGGAAAATGCTCATGCAGGAGCAGGATGTTAGTGGGGCTTTCTCTGCCCACAATCACAGCTTCAAAAGAACTTCTTCCAGTGGTATCAACAGCTCACCCTGGAGTACAGGCTTCTGCCTCACCTCAGGTCATTTTCCTTGGGGTAATTACCTTTACAATAAGCTGGCCTGGGGGCCATAATTATCATATGGAGTCTCATCACCTAGAACTCCCATCAGTGTGCTGATTTCTGCTTTTATGCCTCAGTTTGCCACTTCCTCAGTGGCGGAGGCACAACTAGTTGAAAGGCAGCACTTCAAAACTGTTTGCTGAGCTCATTGGGGTCAACAAATAGCTTTTATTTGAGGACGGGGAAGGATTTTATCCTGGCTATTCTTACAGACCCGCAAGCACATAGAGGGAGCAGCAAGATGCAGCCACAAGCGACAAAACATGCTCACTTGGGAGCATTTGGGCTCCAGTTTTGCCACCAAAGATACTTCTCCCCCCACTGGAGATGTGGGGTTCAAGAGGCTGGCCAAGCCCTCACTATTTCAAGTGACTGCTCAGAGCAGTGGCCCACACTACTTAGTTCTCAGCCCCAAGGACGGGAGACTTTCTGCAGTCACAAGCAGAAATCACTCACTGGATTTCAGGTTGAGTCACTTTAAGGCAGAAAGTGTAGAGAAGCAGGTGTGATGCTCATCCAGAAAAGAAGCAAATAATTTCCAGAGCACAGAGCTTCCTGGAGCTGCACACTCTGAACAAGGAGACCAACTACTGTTTCTTATCTCCTTCAGCATTTAGGAAAACCAGCTTTTGTTCAACAATTGTGCCAACACCTGATTCAACCATGTCAGGTACAGCACTTCACCCATAACAATTCCTTCAAACAACAGGAGGAACACCCTGTATAAGACCTCAGATTTAGGTTAAAGTGCACAGAGCAGTAGGGCAACTATGATTCAACAGGCAAAAAGGCAGATTTCTCTCAACTTTTTAATGCTGTAAGACTCTGAGAAGCTGCACTTAAGATTTTTTTGGACATTACTTTCTTAAGGCTCTTTCCCCTTACCCTTTTCTCCTTCTTCTCATCAAGCAGTGCAAGTTAACAGTGTACAAAAGCACCTGAAGCTTTCAGAATTCCAATGCTTTTCATGCCAAGACACCATCAAGTGCTGCAATACATTTAATGTTTTTTTTTTTCCATGGAGGGTGATGTGCTGGGAGGATGGGTTGGAGAGTCATCCTTGGAGTACTCTCCCCCACAGTGTGGTCTGCACCACATGTTGCTACCACCCTCAACCTCTTCTAGGTCCCTGAGTAACAAGGCTCCCTACACAAACACTTTGCCTGGCTCATAGAGCCTTTTTTTTTAGCTTCACTTGATCAAGCAGCACCAGCAGGAGGGAAACCAAACACTCTTTTGAAGTCAGGGAGGTTCAACACTCTGTTGAACCTGCACAAGGGGAGCAGAGCAAGGCCAGATGACTAATTCCAGGGGTACTGATTAAGTATCAATGCCTTTTACATTATTATCACTCATCAAAAAATCACCACAGTGCTCCCCTGGTGTTACCTTTGACCTTTATAAACAGCAATTTATTTCTTTATTTGCCCACATTCCCCCAGCCCTGAAAGCATCATGTTGAGGATGCATTAAGGTTTGGCATTAGCACCCATCCACATCTCCGCTGTTTGTACTGCCAACACACAGGGGAATTTTCAGCTGGGTTTGTGTTTTGCTTCCTGTGTTTACCAACATGTTCTCAAGCACCTTCTGATGCTGCTGCCTAATAAAAACCATTGAACTGGAAGGAAAACCAGTAAAAGCAGAACAAAAAGGGGAAAGGAGGTAAAAAAGAAGCGGATGTGGCACATGGTCTGTTGAGTGCAGCTATTTGGCCCCTGTTGCCTACAGCAGAATGACAAAGACATAGTTCCAGGCCTGCAAACTCTCCGGGTTGCAGCCGAAAGCACATACAAGATGTATGTGCCTATGGCCCAGCCAAAGGCACTCTGGTAAGGAACAGGAAGAATCAGACTTCCCTGCCTGTCTAGGGAGTGGTGGGAAGCCAGTTGGATAGTGCTGATTTTCAAGGCTTTCCTAGCAACAGTATACCTTCAAACAGCCACTGGCTCACACAGACACACTTCCTTTGAAAAGCCCCTCATCTGGAAAATGCCTGCTGACTCCAATGCAACATCTTCCGGAGCGAAGCTTTACCCAGCCCAAGCACAGAAGAAATAACACGACCTCCGGGAGCTGAAGTTCATAATTTGATCAAAACAGATCTTTTCAATTATGAGTTGGGTCAAATTAAAAGTGACGTGCTGGTCAGTGTCAATTCTAACCAAAGCTGCAACAAGACATTCTGGTGCCTCTAGCCAAGTTGTCAGTTTAATGCTTGTTCTACCCAGCCTTTGCAATACCCTTAAGTGGCTCTGGAGCTGAGAGCAGCCCCTGGCCAGAGCTGTGACTGTCATTACTCCATTCCTACCTTTATCACACCGGACAACTGTCTCAGGTAAAAGTACAGATGGCAAGCACATATTTTGTCCTACTCTTTCCACCAAGTTCTGTCAGTGCCTTCCCAAATGATCCTTGGCTGTAGCTACTTTCACTGCACTGAAAATACTAGACCACAAGCAGCAGGTTGGGCAGCTCTAACAGGTGTAACACATTTGACATACTTCCATTTTTCTAAATGCTGTGCTGGGCCAGGCATTTCTATCACTTACTTCAGTAAAAACAGACATGGCAGCCTCAGCTGTAAAATAGCTTACAGGTTACCTCACTAAAGCAGCAAGTTTCAGCAGAGATCCTCCACACGTTGACATCCACTCAGTGAGACTGACTGTAATCTATTCTGAAGCAACCTCCCTAAAATCCAGTCAAGGTGATTCATTCAAGATTACAAAGCAACTGCAGTAATTATTTTTTATTACTTATGCTGAGTTTGTAAGCATATCCTATGGAAGATCAGGGCTTTCTGATGTAATAATAAACAAGGAAGCGTAGGCAAAAACAAGTAACTTGCTTTGTCCTTGTGCTTGTGAACGGCAAAATGTGGTTGCAGCGGTGGAGCCAATTTGGAGAAGAGACAGATTACAAAGAGCGTGGGGAATAAAGGGGAAAGGTAACAAAGCATAGCTGGGAGGAGCTGGAGAGACTGAGATTGGGACTAGACAGAATGGTTTAGAGGAGGGCTCCAGGGATCAGGATGCTTTACTGCTTTTCAGTCCTTACAACTGTGGCACCCTCATTATTGCTTCTGGGCCCTCCCCAGCACACATATCTCTGTCCCTGGAAGCCATTCTTTCTGATGGAGCAGCTACTTTTGCCCCACAGCACCTTCTACCTGGCCTCCTCCTATATGACAGGCTGAGGAGAAAAGGTCTGCACTGCC